AAACCCACACCTCCAAAACCACTAGACTGATACCACTGATAGTTAAAAAACGTAAGAATAAACCAGGATTTTCTTGGATAGGCATTTGTCATCTTCATCATCACTAACTTTCCATCAGGTAAGATAGAAAACAAATAAAAGTTACAAATATTTAATTTAAAAAAAAGCTAAACAGGAAACAATTAGTAATAACAACTTTGAAGTTAACCAAGTTACTTATTGTATTAGATGGTCAAGTAATATGACAGGTTTGATAAATAGTAGTTTAAATGTGGTTTTATTTTTATAAATACACAAATATTTCTTTCAAAACACAAATATTTTTGAATTTTTTTATGTTCTCATAATTTATATTGAATTATAATATAATATTAATTTATATTTAAGTTTAAATGATATTATTAGTTCTTTTTACTTCAAAATTATAATAAAATTAATATAAATAAATTAGATATTAAGAGAATCTTGTGTACACAACAAGTTCAATAACATCATTAAATAAAATATTGTAAACTTTTTACCTTAATAACATTTCCTGACTCTTTTAAATTAGAAATCACCTTAAACTTCAACTGATATAAGATAACAAGTTAAGGTCAGACAAGACAATTCCTTTATCTAAGACAGATCATTTCAAATGCTAAATATAGCCTGTCCCCTTATCCAAAGTAAGTGGTGGTCAGGATACATTGCTTCCTCACTTGTAAAGTGACCTTGTCATCTGAATTGTTTAATATTATTTTGTATGCCCAGTTTGACTAAATACACTGTGGCATTCAGTTTAAAGTAATTTAAAGAACAATAGGTACACATTTAGTGGTTATAAGTGGCATTTAATATTTGTAAATCTACACACTGAGTAAATAATATTTCAAAACATTCCAATGTACTATTTTACTTTTCTAGTAAGTACCTAATTCCACCACTGTACACTTTTAATTAAATTTATTATTACTTCACCAATGACTATCCACATCTGATAATATAGTTTTCAAATATCAGAATGTTGTAAATTCAATATATCTTATTTATTTAAATTAATATATTTACCGTGTCTAGCCCACTTCTAAGAAACAGTTAACAAATCCCAGTGCAGTTAAGTTTCAAAGTACATAAAATGAATAATTTTAAATCGACACAAGATTAAAATAACCAAACGTTTTGTCATGGAAATATTCTGTGTGATAACATTGTGAATTTTACGTTAGAGCAGTATCATAATAATAAAACAAAATGACAGATAACATCGTCAAACGGCCAAGCAACTGTAATAATTTAAAAAAATATGTCTAAATAAGCCGCCACCACTTTAACGAAATGCGTCAATGAATTCAAGTACTAGTTTAATACAGTAATTGAAAAATAACAATACAAATGTAAAACCGTTACCTTTTAAACAATCACAGTCATAGGCAGGTCAACAGGAACAAAGTAGGTTGCCGTCCAGCGTTTAGTACGAAAATTACACATGCGACGGCACCTAATAACATGAGTAAACACTAACGACTAAAACTTCGCAATAGCTTTATCCCACTAAGTATTTATAACAATTTCAAACCCAAAATATTACACCTATTATGCAAAATAATATTCACAATCACAACACGCACATGAAACGTATCTTGCGAAAAAACTGACACTAGTGACAGTTGAAACATAGGTTGTGTTTTTTGACAAAATCCTTAGTTCCACGAACTTATTTGAGAGAACTTCTCCTTTAATTTTTTACATTAAAAATCAATGAAGATAATGAAAAAATATTACTAAATATAAAATATTAATATTATAGAAACAAATAATTTGATTCATTTTAAAAATTAAAAACATTTATATCGTTAGATTTTTCAGCGCTATCTGTGTTGCTCATTTTGCAAGACAAGAAACAGTCCTTATTTGTACTTTTACTTTAACAAGCATAGCGCCATCTGTTAGTAGTACTAGAGCAGAGTTTACTGTATACAATAAAAGATGGCACTATAAAATACCAATCACACAAAGCAGCTTAGTTTTGCTACGTACAGAATAGATGGCGCCGTTTTCAATTTTTTTCGAAATCTATACAAATAAATAAAATTGAAGTGTCTGTTTGTAACCCACACTGTTATTTGCACGATACCTATGCCAAAAAACCAGTTTAAATATATTTTGCCTGTATGTCTGTCGGTTTGTTCCTGGTAATCTTTAAAATGGCTTTACCGATTTTGATAATATTTTACTACTACTACTAAACTGAAATGTATAAAATACCTTAGGCTATTTTTTCTCTCAGAAAAACCGAAGACTAAGGCAGCGCTTTTCAATTTCCACGAGAACGAAGTCGCGGGCACTAGCTAGTGGTAAATACTGTCGGAGTTTGAAACTGTCGAGCGACGTGAAAACATTGTTTTTCATGAATTAGACAATTTTTTATTTATTAATTGAAAATTAATGTAACATTATACACTATACAATTGCTTAATTACTCGTACTTACATACATTATACAAAATATACAAGTAGCTAGTCCATTAGATTTCAGCGGATCATCGGACACATTCCAAAAATCAATGGCATTGCCGAATAATTTCACCTTGAAGAACTTATTAACTTAATACTTTCCCATAATAATATGCTTACTTAGTAAAAACAAATAACACGGAAATGTTGGTGTATGCATAAAACTAGGCCAGCGCTTTTTTGAATAGTAGATTATCATGTCACCTTCTTATATTTTTTAATAAATAAATTAAAATGTTGTTGGTTTACTAATTTTCTTTATAGTGTCTCAATAAGGTTTTTCGTGCAAAGGGCAACTCTGAAATTTGACAGCTATCACCTATGTTTATTCCGATTATTAAACTTTTCGAAAGTACAAAGCGTTACAATTGTGAAAACTCATTACAAAAATGGGGAAAGTGACGCTGAAACCGCTTGCAAACTTCGCCAAACTTACAGTCGAGAAAGTGTACCTAGTTACAGGAATATTATCATAACAAGAGTAACAAAGATAACAAGTGCGTTGCAATAAGTAGCAATCGGAGGGCAATATCAACTCTCGATCTCACAACTGTCAATAAAAGGTATTTTCGTAGTTAAGTATAAAACATCCATCGTTGATACAGTCAACGATGGATGGACGCTTTTATCATATTGTAACCGTAAATTGAATCAGTAATCTGCTAATTCTTTACTATTTTGCTACGAGAATACCTTTTATGGCAGTTGTGAAGTTGATTGGAACTGAATTGTCACCGAACTTTTATTAAGAGAATTTATTTATTTATTGATTTAACGATCTTAGAAGACTTACAGCTAAAATAAAATTTTAGTGAATGATATAGCAAATTGGCTTCGCCCAGATTATTGCTGTAGAAGAATTATATTATCACAATTTGAGATGTTTATTTTTATTCAATACTCACACTGTTCACACCAGTTTACTCTTGTAGCTAGTATAAAAGAAGTAGGAGTCGCTAACCAAGAAGGTACTATTTTGACCGCGTTCGGCGCTACGATTGGCCCGCACTGAAATCTCCACCAATCGCAACGCTAAACGCGCTCGCCGTCGAGAGGGAGTCGATGTGAAATAAACTTGCACTCGGCCCTCTGAGGGCCGTGGCGGTCACCGTGACGATCGAGTAGATATGTTATAAATTCGCACTTGAGCCTCGGTACAGTATTTGCCGGCTAATGTACTTAAACGAATCCCAAGACCACGACAAAATCTGCTCCCTGAAATAACAAACAGTTACCGTTACCACCGAACATCGGAAGGTGTCTTGTCTTGTCGCAGTCTTTGAAAGAATCTAGAAACAAGGGTTTTTAAAATAATAAAACATTGATTAAAACTGAAACATTTTATTTAAATTATAACTCTCTTCTTCATATAAATAACGTTCTCTTTAAAATGTATTTGGAAGCCTCTACATAAACACGGTAAAGTTTTAATTATGTCAAATACAGCTAGTATAAGATAAAATACAGAACATAGGTAGATAGCTTACTTAAAATTAATAATAGCTTAAAATATCGTCGAAGTACGTATGTGGATAAAATTGAACGTAGCCAGCCGAAGATCACTGCAGACAATCAATTTTCACCTAGAAACAAATTGCAGATAATAATTTACATTGTATATTGTATTACAGCCATATATTTGTTTACATTTTAAAACCAATTAAATGTGATCACTTTCTAATATTTTTTTCTAAATCTCATACAAACATATTTTGGATCATTTACATAGGAAGCTGTTTGTGTATACTATGGTTATCAACTAAAGCAAACAACATGCAAAATCTTAAAAAAATACGAAACACGATCATGCGATTTAACAACATTCAAACTAATATCGAAATAGGTACTAAGTATGGTAATTTCAAAAACAGCATTTTTGATCGTTGATTTTGGCACAAATAGATAAAATAAAATATTATTACACACAACTCTAAAATTCTTAAATAAAATGTAAAATGAACATCACAGTTAAAAGTGTCTTTATCCATTAAATTATGTATACAATAAAAAATTTCGATGCCGCTAAGTAACTAAAAAAATCTATGGTAAACTTTTCGATTTTGAGTCGATTATTAACAAGGTTAGTGACACTAAACTACACACTTTGTCTTTGATCACACAGTTCAGCCTACAGATGAAAAAAAAAAACACTAAGTAATATTTTTGCCCGATACTTTTAAGATCTAAACAGCCAGTGATGTATACTACTTCTCTGTAGATGTTACGAACTTTCTTAATTGGTTAAAACAATATTTTGAGCTTCGAATATTTTTTCGTTATGGCGGTTTTTTTTTCAAAACAAATATCCAGTTTGGCCAAATATCACTGTGATAATATTAATGTATCACAATCGTTCAGGTGCGCGGAGCACAAAATAAGCACTCTATAAGTATCAAACTATCCTGTACTACTGCGCTTACAGACTTTGTGACTTAATTGTCTAACGCTCTTGCGAGTTAAGGGTCTAATTAAACTAATATAAAATGTTAGGTTAATACACGTATGTTATATAATTAGCATAGCGATAATAGTGATCATTGCTAGCAGCAAACCGAGCAGCGTCAACCAATCCAAATCGGCCAGGTGTTGGGAGAACATCAGGGTGTAGGTACAAGCTAACATCAACGTGCCAGAGTCGTGCCAATTGCGCTTCGACTGCGTGTTATCGCCTGTCGAAACAATAAAAAACAACGCATACGATAAAAAAAAAAAACTAGTTAGTAGAGGCAACATAAATGGAACAACTTCGACGGGAATGTGAACACAAATTTTGACATGAAAACAAAAAGCTGGATGCAAAATGTTTAAAATGAAAACCATATACCATGCATGAGAATGGACCACGTACCTGTATTGTCTTTTTGTGAATTGTGAGTTTGCCTTTTGGTTCTCCAAGGAACTACGTTCGTAGGCAGTGAGTTGCTCTGACTAGAAGCATAATCATCAGTTTGGTCGACTGACAGCCGTCTTAGATGCTGATTCATTGTTTGAACTAATTTCGGAGAACTTAACTCATCACGAATCTTTTTTTCTGATTCGGTTTGAGTATCGCTTGCAGTTTCAGCTTTTGTATTACTGTCCAGTTTAAATATCGTCGCCAATTCTTCCGAGGAGTTATAGTCTGCTGAATCAGCACCGTCTTTCTTTAATTCTAAATCATCTTCATATATAGATAGATTAACAGAAGTCCTTACAGGTATTTCCTGTTTACTGATATTATCTGAAACTTTATTTAACTTTTCACTGGCTTCTGTTATACCAGTAATTTTATCAGTATTTGTGTCGCATTCTTCAGCATTCGTTGGCTTTGGAATAAAAAGTTTTTCGTTTACTTGACAAATACCAGCGATCAAGTCAGATATTCCGTCCTTAAGTTCTTTAAAAGCATTAATTTCATTGATTTCGTTTATTTTGTCGTCAGTATTTAAGAAAGGGTTTAGCGAATTTATTACTGGCGGTTTAAGTTCTAAATTGCTTTCACTTGGCGCTTCAATTTTTTGTGAATCATCTTTTATTGTCAACGGGACGACGTCAGGTATTAATTTACTTTCTGGTATCACAACCGTTGTTTCTTGAGCTTTTAACTGTTCCTCTGCCTTTGCTATATAATTAGAAAGTTTTAAACTTTCATCTTCAAAATTTAGCTCTTTTACAAAACTATGTTTAAGTTGGTCTTCAACCTTATGTAGTTGATCTGATATCGCCAAGAGACTATCTTCAGTCTTTTTTCCTTTCGATGTTGTGTTTACGTCGTTAATTAATCTGTCTTGTTTTGGTTCACTTATTATTTCGGTATGTACATTTACTAATTTTACTTTGGGAATAGTTTCTTCGTAAGATTTGCTTGTTAGACCATTTAAGAATGTCTGTCTGCTGTCAGAAATTCGGCTTTGTATATCTGACTTTTTTTCATTATTATACCTATTTTTGTCCAATTCAGCTAAAGCAACACCTAATTTATTACTTGTGTCCATAGCTTCTTGTGCCAGCATGCTAAGAACCTGTTGAAACTCATCCTTTGAGGAACGTTTAGATGCTTGAGGAGATCTGTGTGATGGTGATGAACTTTTGGACTTATCACATGATGATGGCTTAGCAAGATGCTTATCGTCACTATGAATGAATGAATCATCTTTTGCAAAGTGATGTGTGGGTGCATGGGTGTTATTAACATATAGACTGACTGTATTATGTCTTTGCTTTACCTTGTTACGGGGATATTGGTCCTGCTCGTTGTCGTTATTTTCAAACGTACTACGAAGCCGCTTCATGACGTCGCTATTGCTATGGGTTTTTTGCAATGTAGCCATTTTGCTCATGTTCAACGCTTCATCGATTTCTTTCTGTATCATAGTGAATATGTTAGCTGATAATGACCTCACAGCCCTTTTTTTCTTAAGATTAGCTGCGGTGGATGAGTCCTTAGAAAAAGCATATTCATTGTAACTGTGATTGTTGTTTATATGTCCATTATATTCTTCGCTATTGAACAGCGCAGAATGCCTGCCGTCTTTTCTAAGACTCCTATATGCTAAGTCATCAGATACCAGGTCTGGGGATCTTCTAGGAATAAATCTTGGTCGACCTTTGTTTTCTGGTTGTGCGTGAAGATAGTCACTCTGTGGAGCTGGTGAAACTGGGCCTATTGGTATTCCAAATGGTGGCTGTGGATCGATAGTTTTTAAACGATTATTTGTTTGTTTTATATTTCTGTAAACAACATCGTCATGCACTATGTCTGGCTCATTTCTTTCCGATTGTCTATCATCATCTGACGCGTAGGGCACGTAGACAGGTGAAGCTAACATGTAACTTATTTGGGATTGAGCTTCTTTATAATTAGGTTTCTCTTTATTCAAGGAGTTTAGTCTCCGGAATGCCATGTCATCTTGTAACTTATCTGGTAAAGTCGATCTTCTCGGCACGCGCCTCAAAGGTGTCGTCGGTTGACTCCGTAATTGTAATTCGTCGTCGTTTCCATTCCAGTCGTTGAAATGGTCGTTAAACTTCGGTGTCATTAATTCTCGACGTTCCGCTCTATCTAATAAGTCCTCGTCACCCAAACCTAAGCTATTATATATTGCTTCTAATTCGTTAAGAGCATCGTCGAGATTTGTAGACTTTCGTCTTTCTGAACTTTTTTCATCGTCAGATGGCATTTGATATACACCAGGCACATAAGTATCAGATTTGTGTCTGACGTGAGTTTTTGATGTCGGTGACGTAGAATTCTTAGGGGGATCCACTGTAACGGACCTTTTGTACTCTGTAGTCGCCTTCCACACTTTGGCGTCGTCGTTTGTGTCAACAGACGAAGATTTAAAAGTGGTTTTAGTTTGAACATCAACGTTATCACGACACGGCTTAGTTTGATCTAAATACGCAGCTGTTCTGTTTGCCTGCATAGTGTTTGAAAAATCACTACTACTTCTTGAGTTTGCATATACGTATTGTTGGCGCCTTTGTCTTTCAGCGTCATCAATTTTTTTCCAAAATTCTGATGCATTACGAGGTCTGCGATATACACTCTCAGCCACGCCTTGTGAAGTTTGAGAGTCACTTAAATATTGATTTTCATATCCATTTTGACCATTTTTAATGCTGATTGGTCTGCGAGATCTAGGACTTTGATCCGCATAGTACAAATAATCATGTCTTAACTGAACTGGTTCTGGTTTAACAACATTACTTGGACCAACTGATTTCCTCCAAGGTGGCGTATTTGCATAGAGTCCATAATGATTTGGTTCTGCTGACACCGAAGCCGGTCTGCGGGGTTGTTCATTTTTATGCTGAAAACTCTGGATATACTCGTTATTTTGCATTGCAATGTGATCTTCCGAATTTGATATAGGGCGTCTCAAACCATTAAATCCATGACTAAGCGTCCTCTCTTGACTGCGTCTCATTATCCTGTCAAAATCGTTGTTTGGCACACCATGCATTAAAGTATTACCCATTCTATCAGCTGCCATGGGATTATTTTCGTAGTACATAGATATTGGAGTCGCGACTTTTCTTTGCAAATCCCGTGGAGGTGGTACAGGGGGTGCTTTCTCTTCTCTTTTCACGTTTGTTACGTTCCCTAATGGAAACTTGATACACATAACATTTTCAGGACTTTCATATTGACTACTAACACTTCTTTCTCTGTTGTTATTAGAGTGAAGCAACTCGCGTTTAATATTATTACTAGTTGGTATGGAATAGTTAATATGTTCATTGTTAACTTTAGCGTTAAAGTTAATGGAGGATGGGTAACTTTGTGTTGATGGGAATGATGATATTGATTCAGATTTCATGGGACGGCGAGTTACATCATTAGCGTATAACTGTTCGCTTTTATTTTTTTGGGTTTGTTCACGTTTACAAGTTCCGTAACCACTACTCTGACTTGTCGGTGTTCTTGTTAACATTTCAACCTCAGCCTTTGTGTAACCCTGCTGCAGAAGTTCTGCTTCTTTGTTTAACTGATTTTCCTCGTCTCGTGACAATCTTTTTACATATCTTTCATTTCTGGCACTTCTTGACCTTTTGTTTAATGAGCTATCACGTGATCTCATCAAAGAATCTTCACTTCTGAACCGAATCATCAGTGATGAATTCGATGATTTAAGTGATTCTTCGTCACTACTTGATTCACCTTTCATGCTATTTCTAAGTGCTTCAACTCTGGCTTTCAATCTTCCTTTTCTCGTTTTTCTTGAAGGTGTCTCTAAAGTCGGTCCCCCAGATCTACTGGAATTGTCATCTCTTAAACTGAGCGATTCTTTAGAGGCTTTATACATTTCTTGTGCTTTATTAGCACGATAGTTGATAAAACCTGCTGACGGGTCTGATAAAACACCATCGTCAGTAAGATCTCGAGCGTTTGATTTTGCTAAGCTTTGTGCTCTTCTAGAATCTCTTATTACTATGTGGTCAAAATTATTGACCGGTGGTGCTTTCTTTTTCTTCTTAGATTTTCTTTTAGAGGGGGAGCGTGTACTGACACCCTCATCGGTTTCTGACGAAGTTCCACTTTCATCTTCTTTCTTCTTGCGTCTGAACAGTTTACCGATTGACCATTTCTTGTCTTTCTTTTTGTCTGAGTCTTCTGGCTGGGCGGGGCGTTCGACGCGACGCTGTACTGCAGCATATTCTTCTGTATAGGGACGGTACGCCGGTGTCGATGTAGATACGTCCCGGTGAGGAACCGGTGGGGAGTTGACAGCCTGAAATTAGAGAAAAAAGTTAAATTAAAATTGTGTCAGGTCATGCGGCTATTGTGTGTAGAAAAATTATAACGGATGGACTAATTACGACTGTGACGGTTCGAAACAAAAATTATAAAAATATTGTTCGCCTAGCTGTCTAGAAGTATAATTTAGCAAAGACGTCACTGGCAAAGTCCCAAATGTAAGAATGTTGGGAATACATTACTTATGTATACATAAATGTATTGTTTATAAACTTACACGCGGAAGAGTCATTTAGATATTTTGTCATTTTTTATATCAGTGTAAGAGTTCACAGTCATTATGACCAGTTTGAAACGAGATAAATAAATTATGAGGTCGATAAACAATCGTATTTAATTCAATTGCGCGGATTGCGGTATAAATGTACCATTTTTTTAAATTGTTGTTTGTTTTATTATTGTAAGCAGTTTTATTGTGTACAACTCCTTCTGGTTTGTGATGGCAGCATCCTGCCAACCTCCATGTTAAAAAAATAATAGTACCACTATTATTCTCTTCTTAAAAGACAAGAAGTACACGTTTTCAGTATGAGATTGAACCCATAGCTTCGTTGTGGCGGTAGTGAGCAAACTTTTGAAGGCGATAATTCAACGATAATGGTTGGTCACTGATTAAGATGAAAGTATATTAAATATAATTTAAGTTAGAAGGTTCGTTCCTTTCGGGAACAGCCAGTTCGACTTACAGTTATGCGATCCTGACATGATTGAGATTTGGCTTACACTCCGCAATCCATTCGTGTTTTAAGCAATATCTCTTTACCACGACCTTCCCTTCTTATCGACCTTTCTTTTCAATGTACTTCTATTTATCACATTTCTATATATCCCAAAGTGTCCGTTTGAAAGTTATAGAGTGAACCCTTATTATAGAAGTCGCCTTAAAATAATAGTTGGCAAATACTTTACTTTAATACGCCTCTATCTACCCCTTGGACCAAAATAAAATACAATAAAACATACAATCACATCTTTATGTGATTGTATGTTTTATTGTATTATATATATATATTTATTGCTCCTAAAATATATTTCAGATTATATTAAGATTTGTGTAATGATGGATAAACTACGGAGTGTCACCACCCCTATTCACCCCATGGGTGTCGTAAGAGCCGACTAAGGGAGCAAACTACGCAGGACAACAGAACTGCAAAGAGAAGGTAAACTTGAAACATACCCTATACCAGCCACACAATAGTCAAATCAGTGTGGTATAGTAGGCCAAAACCTCAATTCTAAGGAGAGGCCTATGTCCAGCAGTGCATTGTTATAGACTGTTGATGATTAAGATTAGTAGACCGTCAAAATAAAGGCGTTCAGACGTCATGGCCTAACTAAAGCTTAGGTACAGACCATTCCGTTACGGCCACTATATTTTGAACTGTCGTTGTAGAGTTTTCCCTACAACAATATATCAATACATTGGGCGCGTATAGCTTGACTTAGAATGCCGGGTCATATTTTATAATTCATACTTGATGATTTTTCCAATTATTTCAGCAAATGTTAAAAATGAAAAATCTGTGTTTTCTGACTTGTTTACTACTTAATGATATGGTTTAACATTAGAGACCATATCGTAGAACATTATGCACAGGTAGACGCGCTGATATCGCTGTTTCTGTAATGTAACATGGCGGCAGACAATTAAGTATTTAGTTTTAAAAGCCGTGTGGTGTCGTGGGACACCCGATAGGAACGAAGTTGTGACGATCGAGTAAAACTGATTCGACACGATTTTAATTACAACGCCATCATTTTTTCATACATACATATTTTTCAGTTGGTTTCTAATTAAAACAATTTATACATTGGTAAAATCTCCTTGAGAAATGATGTCGAATACAATATTTTTTGCTCAACCTAAGAACATAAATTTTAATTTTACTGAGATGAAAAGTAATGATTTCCTATCTATTCGATAGATGGCGCTAAATAACTGACAAGTGACAATTCAAAATAAAAAGTGTCGTTACAACTTTTCGTGAGATTTTTTTCCGTCTAGCCCCCTTTCACAACGCGCGATAAGGAACTTCGTTCCAAAACTAAATGAAGAAAGGGCAATGAGTATTTTTACTACAATGCCTTACATTTATATTTTAAAGCTAATGAGTTTGGTAAGGTTGGTTGAACGCCATAATCTCAGCAACTACCGGTTCGCCTGGAAAAAGTATTTTAGTGTTGGATAGTCCATATATCGAGGAAGGCTATTGGCTATATAACATCACACTATGACAAATAGGGACGGATCATCAATGAAAAATGTTGCGAAAACGGGTAAAATTTATTCCTTTTGAAAAACTCTGACGAAGTTGTGGGGGTCAGCTAGTTAATGATATGACCTAACGTGACTTCACGTATCATCAAACGTTGACGTTTGAACGATATGCTCAGTTTTTTAGCGAGCTACGTCATGAAAGACGCGCATTTCATGAAATGGTCAAACAAATCATGAAGTGATCAAATTTAAAAGCTGGCAATGATTTTACAAGAAGTTTATTCATCATGAGATTTTTTAAGAAGCAAACATATGTAATGAATGAATTCTCACGTTCATCCAATGATATGTCAAATTTTCATAATACTATCTGAATATCTATCTACCTATACTAAACTTGTATAATGAATTTATCAAGCGTTCTGCATGACACTAGGTAGAGAACGATTATATTGGCGTGATTCACAGATAAATTGTTATGAGTTTGGGTGTATTTTTTACCTGTTAATTGTTTGTAACACTATTTTCAAGTATCGTGTGGGAGTTTTTAAATACAAAAAAGTAGTAATTGTCAAGATATTAGGTTATTTTTACTTTTTATTTTTTACTTTCTGACAGACATTCTCCTACCAAAAAATGGCATCAATCCTCATTCATGAGCATGAACCACAATATCAGAGTAAGAGTATCAGGTCCTGTTTTTATCGACTCATCAAATATCTGCTTGCAAAATAATGGGCAAAAATTTTATGGGTTGTATGAGAATCGGGTTGAGTTTCCAATACGGTTTTATATGTATCGGCAACTGCTTAACACAACAAAACTCATTTGTTTGTTTGCTAAAAATATGAGGTATAGAATAACTCAGACTCAGGTGATACAGATTAAAGTTCTAATCTTAAATTTCTGTTGATTTTAAATTATTTCCATTTAAGAATTATTACGATTATAATTTGAGTAGAACTTATAGTTTCCCCAATAAAAGTTCGTTAGATCAAGGATTACATACTTAATCGATTTGTTTATTTGTGTTCAATTCTGGACCACGTCACGTCTTCACGTCATATAATGGCCTAGATTATCTACATTCAGATGGGTATTGACTGTTCAATTTAAAGATTGAAAGATGCTATGTTAAAGATAGAGAATTCTACAGTTTGTAGATAAAAATGTGAACTTACAGGCAGAAATGACCGAAAGTAATCATTGTTTCTTCTTTCAGCAACTTCCACCATCACGACCATAGATAATTTATTATTAAATAGTCATTTATTTTTAACATTCACACCCACTTGCGCACATTTGGCACGACAATCCACCATATGTTTTTACACAATATCTCATGCACACATACACATATTTATATAAAGAAATAAGTCGTTAATGCACTAACAAATTTGACTGTTTTTATTAACCGGATAACTAAGTAGAATACGTTGAGTTTACATATTGCTCATATTAAAAGAAACGTTTTTTTTTATTATTAAATAATAGTTATTAAACGTAGTTTAATATTATATCACTGTATGATGTATTCGATAGTAAACAATTTACCTACAATTTGCAAGTAAAACACGCGGGCGCACCGCGAACGTCACGCGTGCGACTCGCGGGCAAGGCGCGCCGACCACTCGCGATAATTTCGGCCAACTACAGATAGATCCGCGCCTTATCCTGCATTTCTTCGCTATAATAACACACGCTCGATGCTCTACAAATCCAGTTATTTATAAACATTTATTTTATATCAATGCAATTCTCGAGTCGAAATGGGATCTACGCTTCTAACGATTTTGAACTAATTTTGTAAAAATAGTCACGAATTGAGGAAGTATAGCTATGAATGAGTTTTAACCTAACAAGAATAGGGTTAATTTTTTTTATAGCAGCCAACTGGACGACCATACACGTTTAGTTAAATTAAAGAATATACATTGAAATATTAATAAGAACAAAGAATTATACGTCAACTAATTGGTTTGTTGCACCTATGTTTTAATTCGTTATTTACAATTACTCGAGAGATTACAAATGAGACGAAGAACATCTATGAGACATTTTTATACACCAATAAAAATATTTGGAACGCTATAAAAACCCAATTTTATGCCTGGACAAGTCACATGAAATTAGATACAAACACATTACCTTCCATAAAACTTTAATTTAAAAAATAAGTTATATTGTTAAGATACAAATCCCATGTGCTGACAAGACTACATAATCATGCATACGGTCCATAAAATACGCAGCACTTAAACAACTTATTGTTAGCAAAAGATTCAGTAAATTATGTGTAGAAAGCTCCGAAGGGAGCTCTAAATATAGCTGGGCTGAGTCAAGTGCACAGCGCTGACGGTTAATGAAATACTATTCAATGTTCTGTGTGTTATGAAATATAAGGGATAGACGAGGTCGCTATGGCAGACAATACTATTTGAACTACGCATGTCTTGTAAATAGACAGATGAGAGTTCTGTAACTTGCTAATCCATTGCCGTGTAAGTTTACAGTAAATTAAACTAGCAAAGTGCGCGAAGCGTAAAGCATCGTGATGGAAGGCAAATAATAGGTTACCTACACTAAGTCTAGTTGATACCATTTTTCACTAGTACCAGTTTGTTCTTGTTATATTTGTAACTTTTGGACTAGTTCGTCCCATTATCATGTATAATTCATTGACGCGATTGACCTGGACCTGTATTTATCATTATTGTTATAATTTTTTAAGATTAAGTTGTTTTTCAGGAAATTAATAATTAAAACAAGCCATAAAATGGTACCTACATGTCTACGCTGTACAGAGTATTTTATTTGTATAGGCAGTGAAGAAAATAATGTACACTTTTCTTATAAAATAAGAATTGCACGAAACCTTGATTTAACATAAGCAATTTGAACAGAAATCTACCTCTTACCAATGAAGACTAATAAATCTCCTAAGAGATTTATGTGACAGACAGCAAATATACGACTGAGAAAGACTAACTCAAATACGTTTAAGTATACGATGAAGGCGGCAGGAGAAGACTTTGGCAGGTTTGTCGTGAAAATCATTTTTTAAGATCCGTTTCATTATCCAGGATTCATGACACTGTTTCCTTTTTCTATGTAAATAAGTAAACAGCCTTTAAAAACATACAAACCACAAGTATTAACTTAGGTTGTGGGTCCGAGACAAACCAATTTTGTATTCATTTAACCAATTCATTTAAACTCCATCTTTATACACAGTCCTTTAATGTGTCATTTATTACTTACAACAACTATGTCACTATAACTTTTTCTTGAAATTAACATTACTAATATTAAGAAACATTTTGATCTAGTACTAGTCAAAGTAATGTACTATTCAGTGACGCTTTTGTTTTTATTTCATTAACATTTCGTGTAAATGCCAGCATGCGCAGACCGTAGTTTTTGCGAGCTCGGCGTATTGCTAAACGGCGTATTGCTAAACCGCAGTCATCCTAAACATACGGTTGTAAATGCGATTCTTGTGCCAAAAATACGCTGTCGAAGTATCTGTCTTGTTCTTTTCATACGCTATAAAATGCAACACGAAGAAAATGGCACCAGAAATGCGTTCTATATTGGTAAAGATTAAAACGATTTTATGCTTTTAAAAGTAAGAAGTTTTGGGATTCCTTTTCCCTTTCTCTACTAAAAATTAAAGATCCCGTTAATTTGGTAATGGAATAAAAAAAAGTTCCCAATTAATTCGGTCTAAAAAAGCCCAGGTATTTTTAGAATCTCATTCCGTAACCATCACGTTGGTCCAACGTCCAAACAAATTAAGCCAACAACTCTTTCGGAAGACACTATTTAATTAAGCCTAAAAAATTACGGGGCTACATGGTGAACCGATTCGATACACTCCATTAAAATAGGACGGAGTAGTACATTAATTTACACCATGTAGTATGGACTTCATAACCAATAATAATAGAAAGTTATTGTAACAGTGACACCTTTTATAAAAAGTAATCTGATAACAGAAAATATATAAAAAAATGTACATCATTAATTCAGCTATATAATAAGCATTACAAATAAACGTACTTGATAAACATAGTTTGATAAACACTTAATAAATGCCCCAGAAAATGCAAAATCAACTCAAAAATTGATCGTTTCATCTTCATCTCAACCCACGAATTTTAAAAAGGACTTAAAATGAGATATTACTATGAGCTGCGTAAATGAGTTGTCGTCACATTATGTAGCTCAGGTAATTGCAACTGAGGCCAGCGAGGGCGAAAATAGACGAGCTGTTGTAAGTGACTATGATGTAACATTATGTTTGATCGACACTGATCTCTACAGAATTATACACATAGACAGTTAGATCAAACACGTTACGTCCAGATCTGTTATAACTTATTGATCTAATATGAAATGTCTTAAGTCTGCCAGACAAACAACCGTTATTAACTAAGATAGACTTTTTATTGAATATAACGGCATTTTCTGTAACGGAGTATGTGGAATTCTATTAAGGGAGTTGTGTCACGTTTAATACTCTTTTGCTAATGAGTTCTTATACCACTCAAACTTGTTCAGTTATATTTGTAATAAAGCTTGCATTTTATGAAATAAACAAAAGCGCTATAAAAGTTTCCACAACTTCATACAATTTACAAATATTTTTTCTATATGCATAGAGAGAATACATCTTCTATACTTATAATTATTTATTCATTAATCTTCCTTCAGTGAAACCCAAATATTGTCTTCTCTTCAGCATTCAGACATCATCATGTTGAAGTATACCGATCCGTCTTTGTGACGAATCTGTCTCCCTTAACTGATGTCCCCGGGACAGAAACTCGACCGCCCAGTGACACTCGTCACACAAAACTACGTGTTTCCGGTAGGGAATCACTTTTATTTATTACCTTTTTACATTTTTCTGACATCAACACACATTATGATTTTAGAAAGATTTTTTCCTTTTCTTTCATATAGAATGAGTGCAGAACCCCGTAGAGTAGAAATAACAGCAGTGTTTTATTTATTTCTCGAAGTTTAACGCTTTTATTAAGTTAGGTTTATTCGAGCGGTCTAACATTTGTCCAGGCAAACTTTGGCATGTCATTTTCACAGTCGATTTGCGAAAAGGCTATTTCAAAACTTTCTGGTTTGTGGAACATGTTAAGAAATAAAGTGTAAAACGAATTATTGTAAGAGTTGTTATGTTTTTTAGAGTTAGGATGACTAGGATTCTATTATTCTTATGTCCGAATATGGTTGTCAGCACAGATTCTTTATACCATAGCAATAAGCTACTGATATTTTGTTAGCGTCGATAAGGATAGGCATTTATTTGTTTAACTTTATCCATTTTTGTATATCGGCATACTTAATGCTCAGGGCATTCTCTTCCACTCAATCTTTGGGTGGTTTAGAAATCTTGTAAGGTAGGGCACAAAGGTTACTTCATAATATATTAAGTAATAAATTAAAATGTATACGGTTCCCTACATACATAAACTTATACAACACAACACATATATATAGATATATATAAATATGTTTATAAAGATACATAGACATATTATATTCGTACACTATGAATACCAGATTATGAGGTATACTATGGATTAGATAGTTCTGCCATTTCGTTAAGAAGGAGATCATGTACCTTTTTTTATAAAATAAAGCGTTGTAGACATTCTGACTTCGAGCGGGAGCGCATTCCAGAGTAGTAATGCTTGAACAAAGAGTTCACGAAGTCGGAGTTGTGAGAGGGATATAAGACAAGTAGATTATTAAGTCAGCTAATATTTCTGTCGTGGTTAGTGGCCAGGTAACGCAAGTAGGGAGCAAGATAAGGAGGTGTGGACAGTGAGTTGAGGAATGAAAATAAAGAGATAAGTGCACGTTGTTTGCGGCGCAAGCGAATAGGTAACCAGTTTAGTTTAACGCAAAGCAGACACATAGTCATACTTCCGAACATTGAAAACTGTGTATTGACTTTTTAACACATACCATAGCAAAAATAACCCAACACATTATGGTACAGTGCCGGTGAGGTTAGAGTTTGAGGATATTATTGGAAAACAAACTATACGAACATGTAGTTCATATATTACAATTACATTTTGTAAGACAACATATGCTTTTTATTTTAAGCTTTCATGCACACAAAAGCATTCAAATTGATACAAATTGATGAAATAGATTGTGTATGCATCAAAATATACCTGTAAATGAACAATAAATATTCACATATATAAGATTG